ACACCGCCATGCCTGGCTATTTTTTCTTTTCTTTTTTGTTTTTTTTTTTTTGTATTTTAGTAGAGACAGGGTTTCACCAAGTTGCCCAGGCTGATCTTGAACTCCTGAGCTCAGGCAATCCGCCTACCTCGGCCTCCCAAAGTGCTAGGATTCCAAGCGTGAGCCACCACGCCCAGCCGTCTGTTACTCTTTTATGCTCCTAGAATCTAAACTCCATCATAGCAATGAAAGGGTCTGTCCTGTCACAGTCATCTCTTTTTTTTTTTTTTTTTTTTTTTGAGACAAAGTTTCGCTCTTGTTGTCCAGGCTGGAGTGCAATGGCACAATCTCAGCTCACTGCAACCTCTGCCTCACATGTTCAAGCGATTCTTCCGCCTCAGCCTCCCAAGTAGCTGGGATTACAGATGTGCACCACAATGCCTGGCTAATTTTGTATTTTTTAGTAGAGACAGGGTTTCATCATGTTGGTCAGGCTGGTCTTGAACTCTTGACCTCAGGTGATCCACCCACCTCAGCCTCCCAAAGTGCTGGGATTATAGGCGTGAGCAACTGCACCCAGCCCTGTCATATCCACCTCTTATTCCCAGGTGGCCTCATCTGTACCCTAGCCCACAGCAGGTCCTCAGTAACTGGAATGAATGTGGAATATTTGGATGGTCAGAATACTTCAAAGAACATCTCCCTTCATTGTATTTGAAATTTTACAGGCAAATTCATGCTGGGCCAGTTTTTACTAAACAGAAACCTTTACACAGCTGTGATCCCTTGTATCCATTTTTGATTGCTGCCATAATAAATCACCACAATTTAGAAGCTTAAAACAACACTAAGTTATTATCTCGCGGTTCTGTAGGTCAGAAGTCCTCGTACAGAGTGGCTCACAGGGTCCCCTGATTAGGGTCTCCCAAGGCCACAATCAGGTGGCAGGGCTGCGTTTCTTTCCAGAGGCTCCAGGGATGAATCCACTTCCAAGCTCATCCAGGTTGTTGGCCACATTTCATTCTTTGTCATTGTGGGGCTGATGTTCCTCTTTCCTGGCTGTCAGTGGAGAACCTCTCAGTTCCTCAAGGCCACTGCATTCCTTGTCCTGTGGCCCTCCCGCCATCTTCAGACCAGCAATTGCTTGTGGAGTCCTCATAACTCCAGCTCTCCGACCTGACCTTCAGCCACATCTCTTCTGCCTCTAGCTGAGGAAAGTTAAGGGCTATGTGATTATACTGGGCCCAGTCAGATAATCCAGCATAAGCTCCATATATATATATATATATATATATATATATATATTTTTTTTTTTTTTTTTTTTTTTGAGACAGCATCTTGCTCTGTCTCCCAAGTACAGTGGCACAATCATGGCTCACTGCAACCTCTGCCCGCCCCGGTTCAAGCAATCCTCCCACCTCAGCCTCCCAAATAGCTGGGACCACAGCCACGCACCACCACAAAAAAAATAATTTTTGTATTTTTTGTAGAGATGGGGTTTTGCCATGTTGCCCAGGCTGGTCTTCAATTCTTGGGCTCAAGTGATCTGCCGGCCTCAGCCTCTCCAGGTGCTGGGATTACAGGTGTGAGCCACCGTACCCATCAGCTTCTTCTGAAGAATGGGTTCACACCAGCACTTAGGTTGTAGGATCATGGTGAAGAGTGATTGCATTCATTCATGCTAAGAGCTTATCAGTGCCTGGTACACGGCATTGTCATCATTGTGATGCCAGGGGCAGGGCCCACACACCTACACCCTGGAGGGGGATGGAGATGGGTCCCAAGATCTGGGATCTGGTCTTCAATTTGGTAGGCCCAGAAATTGAATTTTCTGCTCACCCAGCTAGTCAGTGTTAGAGCCATGATTCAAACCCTGGCCCCACCAGTTCCAAAACCCCCTGTATACCAGGAGGTCCAGCCTCCATAGACACTATCCCTGCTGCCTCTGTCAGTGGCAGTTGGGCTGGTGTCCCTCTGAGTCACCGCTGGCAGGAGGGAAACCCTTGGATTCACAGAGTGATATGCTTAGGGAATCACCCTCCTTTAAGCCTTGGGAGAGGAGAACTCCCCTAAGTGTACAAAGCGTGTACACAGACCTTGTTGCCTCTTCCCTTCACTGCAGCCCTATGAGGTATGAATGAATGATTCCTATTTCCAAATGTGGTTAACTGAGACCCAGAGAGGATGGGGAAGAAGATGCAAACTGGATTAAATACCCCAATGTTCTCTTTTGTCTGTTCGTTTGAGACAGTCTCACTCTGTCACCCAGGCTGGAGTGCAACGGCACGATCTTGGCTCACTCCAACCTCCACTTCCCGGGTTCAAGCGATTCTTGTGCCTCAGCCTCCTGAGTAGCTGGGATTACAGGCACGCACCACCACGCCCGACTAATTTTTGGATTTTTAGTAGAAACGGGGTTTCACCATGTTGTTCAGGCTGGTCTCAAACTCCTGACCTCAGGCGATCTGCTTGCCTTGGCCTCCCATAGTGCTGGGGTCATAGGTGTGAGCCACTGCGCCCGGCCAAATACCTGCGATGTTTTGAGCTCCGTGCAGGGCGCTATATGTACCTCACCTTCACGAGACCCTCCTCCCCAAGTTACTTTCCTCATTTCCTAGAGGAGAAAACAGCTCAGAGAGGGGGAGAAATGTGCTCAAAGCTCATCAGCTGGAAAAAGACAGGACGAGGAAACCTTTCCTTTTCCATCAGACACGGTCCCCTTGTGATGAGAACGTGCAGTCGGTGACTAGGGAGCTCCTCAGGGTCAAGGGTGCTCATCTCTGAATGCAGCCCCTCCCCTGCAGACCTGGCAGGGTCTGCAAATAGTGACTTTTTTTTTTTTTTTTTTTTTTTTTTTTTGAGACAGAGTCTCACTCTATTCCCAGGCTGGAGTGCAATGGCATGATCTCGGCTCACTGCAACCTCTCTCTGCCTCCCAAGTTCAAGTGATTCTCCTGCCTCAGTCTCCCGAGTAGCTGGGATTACAGGTGCCTGCCACCATGCCCAGCTAATTTTTGTATTTTTAGTAGAGTCAAGTTTCAACATGTTGGCCAGGATGGTTTTGATCTCTTGACCTCGTGATCTGCTCGCCTCAGCCTCCCAAAGTGCTGGGATTACAGTTGTGAGCCACCACGCCCGGCCAAATAGTGACATTCTAACCATCGCCTGTGGAATAGGAGACATGCTTCTATTTGTTGAAATTGCCATCCCTCATGTAACCAGCCTGGGGAAGAACACTCAAGGGGGCATAACCCCCTCCACGGGCACAAACTGAGTCTTGGGCTCTGGTACAATCAGGGTTCTACTGAAAGCTTATCATTTCCCATTAGAGTTACCACAGCAACACGAATGTCTTCATTCATTCCCCTAGTGTATGAACAGAGCTACACCCACCCCACCTGTTCTCCCAAGCCCCCTCAAAGTCCTTCCATCTCTGAGATTCTGTGATTCAATTAATCATCACCAATGCCTGCACTGCTTTTTGTCATTTTCATTAATTCCATCTGCTGAGTCACCGTGTCCTGCTCTGGATCAGAGTGGTTATTCACAACGGTTATTCAGCCGTCGGTTGCCATGGACACCGCACAGCCTGCTTCCTTCATCACCCATTAATTCTCAACAAGGCTGGCTGTGAGCGTGGGTACCACAGCCGTTACCCAAGACCCAAGGGGAATCAAACTCTCCCAGAAAAGGAGGGGGCCTGATGACGCATGAACAGAAGCAAAATCTTTGCTCTCAACGGTGGAAAAATCAAAAACAGCCTACAACTCATTACATCCGGTCAAACCATGTGGAGGCAGCAGTTTATCAAATAAGTCAACAAAGTGCCGTTTTGTTTTCTGGTCCATCTTCGGCAAATGCTTTAGTCTGTTTGCTAACCATTTGAAGGTATACTTTGACACTGAAAAGTTGTTGGCTGGGCATGGTGGCTCACACCTGTAATCCCAGAACTTTGGGAGACCGAGCCGGGCCGATCACGAGGTCAGGAGTTCGAGACCAGGCCGCCCAACATGGTGAAACCCTATCTCTACCAAAAATACAAAAAATTAGCCAGGTGTGGGGGCGTGCACCTGTAATCCCAGCTACTTGGGACGTTGAGGCAGAAGAATTGCTTGAACCTGGAAGGTGGAGGTTGCAGTGAGCCGAGATCACGCCACTGCACTCCAGCCTGGTGACAGAGCTAGACTTTGTCTCAAAAAAAAAAAAAAAAAAAAAAGGTTGTTTTGCAGATTACTAGCTCCCCTGAAAGCAAAATGAAGGAGACTTGAGAGGCAGGACCCCCCGGGAATTGGCTCTGCATAGGGGGTTTGCAGGTGGTGGTGCATGGGCAGCTGACCTGGGAGATGTGGGGCAGCTACAAGCCAAACTCACACCAGCACAGAAGGCCTAAGGAGAAGAAGGCACCGAGGGTGTTCCATGGTAGGGGGAGGGTGAAGGGGCTTCAGAGGTGACCAGGATGTGAGCCACCAGAAGGAGAGAACAGGGCCATCAGCCCACAATCCATTGCTCCTGGTAACACGTTGTATTTGCAGAGTCCAGTGGAGGGGACGGGGAATCAATACATCACCCCACATTCACACACTCATCAAACATCAGTGGATGGTGAAATCTACTTTCCCTGAATCTAAGCCCATCGGGTTCACTCCCTCACCTACCACCACCCACAAACGTCCCTATGTAGTTTGAGAGATGAGTACCAGGCCTCTGACCCCCAGGATAGGTGGGGAGCATTGCTCCTGACCAAGGGAGCTTGGTTCCTGCCCCTTAGGTACAGCTGGAGAGCTGCCACCACCCCGCTCCAGCCCCTCACCATGAAGGTCAACTCCCCTATCCTTCCCCCACATCCTGGATGACTGACTGACACTAAATGACAGGGCGGGGCAGGACGATGGGCTGTACCTGTGCCCCACCCCATTCCTCTCGCCTGGACTCATATGGCAGGGTAGGGGTGGGGCGGCACAGTTGGGAGGGACCTCGAGGGCTTTATAAGGCAGGCCTGGAACACCAGGCAGAACAGAGACCTGAGAGGCACCAGGCCCAACCGCCACACCACACACCTCCCAGCTCTGCAGGTGAGAAAACCCAGGAGGAGAGGGGAGAGGCTGGGAAGTGGGTTGACAGGTCCTCTCCCCCATCAAGGTATCAGGCCACTGGCCAGAGTCTGGGGCTCACCCCTTGGAGTCCCCAGAGCTGGGACCCTTTCTTTATCCCAGGATGGAACTAGGTCTTGGCTCCAGTACCTACCGTTGTATTCCCAGCCTTGCCTTCCACCTGCCCTCTGTCCCAGCCGGGGCTCTGCCCTTAACCTCTCCCTTCACACTCCTCCCCTGGGAGGTGAGGAGGACTGGGGTTCTTCTCCTCTCTCTTAGGTGAGAAAACTGAGGCCCAGAGGCAAGATGTGACTTGCCCAAAGTCACAGGGATTTTTAGGCAGGGCTGGGATGGGAATCCACAGCTCCTGGATCCCACTTCAAGCCCTTTCCTAGACCACTGCCATCCAAAAGAACGTCCTATGATGCGGGAAATGTTCTTTATCTGCACTGTTCAATATGGTAGCCACTAGCCACGTGTGTGCTTGAAATGGGGTTGGTGTAAGGAAGTTTGTTGTTGTTGTTGTTGTTGTTTGTTTTTTATACAGAGTCTTGCTGTGTCACCCAATCTGGAGTGCAGTGGCGTGATCACAGCTCACTGCAACCTCCGCCTCCCAGGTTCAAGCAATTCTCCTGCCTCAGCCTCCTGAGTAGCTGGGATTACAGGCGCCTGCCATAACACCCGGCTAATTTTTTATATTTTTGGTAGAGACAGAGTTTCACCATGTTGGCCAAGCTGGTCACAAACTCCTGACCTCAAGTGATCCAACCCCCTCGGCCTCTGAAAGTGCTGGGATTACAGGCGTGAGCCACTGCACCTGGCTGTAATTTTTTAATTTAATTAATTTAAATGTAAAGAGCCACACGTGATTGGTGGCTACAACACTGAACAACCAACGTGTGGTTAGCATCTGACAGTACAGCTCCAGATCACTGAGTTTTCAAACGTTTCTTCAGCAGCAGAATTCTTTTCTTCCAAGGAAAACCTAACAGAGAACCTCATTATGAAAAACTTAATAGCCAGGCACCGTGGCTCATGCCTGTGATCACAACACTTTGGGAGGCTGAGGCAAGCAGATTACTTGAGCTCAGGAGTTCCAGACCAGCCTGGGCAACATAGTGAGACCTCATCTCTACTAAAAATAAAAACAAATAAATTAGCTGGGCATAGTAGTGCACACTTGTAGTCCCAGCTACTCAGGAGGCTGAGGTGGGAGGACCTCTTGAGCCCAAAAAGTCGAGGCTGCAGTGAGCCAGGATCACTCCAGCCACTGCATTCCAGCCTGGGAGACAGAGCAAGATTCTGTCTCACAAAAAGAAAAAAAGAAAAACTTAAAAGCAGTACTTTATTAATACAAATGTATTCTGACAAGAGAAAATTTTTATCATTTTCTTATGATAAAGCCAATCAGAATAATGAGACTAAAAGAATACAAAAATCGTGAGTCCAGGGAACAGATGACCATTTGAATTTTACGTTTGTTTGAGATTCCAGTTTAGTTCTGTATTATATCTTTTCCCCAAACTGGATTCACCCTGATACATAATTGCTAATGGTGACAGCTTAATTTTTTCTTTTTTTTTTTTTTTTTTTTTTTTTTTTTTTTGAGACGGAGTCTCGCTCTGCCGCCCAGGCTGGAGTGCAGTGGCCGGATCTCTGCTCACTGCAAGCTCCGCCTCCCGGGTTCACGCCATTCTCCTGCCTCAGCCTCCCGAGTAGCTGGGACTACAGGCGCTGCCACCTCGCCCGGCTAGTTTTTTGTATTTTTTAGTAGAGACGGGGTTTCACCATGTTAGCCAGGATGGTCTCGATCTCCCGACCTCGTGATCCGCCCGTCTCGGCCTCCCAAAGTGCTGGGATTACAGGCTTGAGCCACCGCGCCCGGCCTTAATTTTTTCTTAACTGCTTCATTATAATCACAGGATATTCCTCAGTTAAGCAAAAATGACTGGAGAACCTTTCCTCTCAGGGCCACACAAAAAAACAGTGTGAGCTGGCCAAGCGTTGAATGTGCTGCAGTCTCCAAAGTGATAACATGCGGTCTGTAACACAGTTGGATGTCTATGTTCCTTTGGTATTACTATTTAAAAGTTTCACTTTTTGTTTTTGTTTTTTTGAGACAGGGTCTCACTCTGTCGCCCAGGCTGGAGTACAGTGGTGCAATCTCGGCTCACTGCAACCTCCACCTCCAGGGCTCAAGGGATCCTCCCACCTCAGCCTCCCAAGTAGCTGGGAATACAGGTGCATGCCACCATGCCCGGCTAATTTTTGTATTTTTTGTAGAGATGGGATTCGGTATGTTGCCCAGGCTGGTCTCAAACTTGTGGGCTCAAGGGATCTGTCCTCCTCAGCCTCCCAAAGTGCTGGGATTACCATGCCTGGCCTAAAAAGTTCACTTTAAATAACAAGTCTTGGGCCAAGCACAGTGGCTCACGTCTGTAATCGCGGCACTTTGGGAGGCTGAGGTGGGAGGATTGCTTGAGCCCAACAGTTCAAGACTAGCTTGGGCAACATGGTGAAACCCCATTTCTACAAAAAATACAAAAAAATTAGCTGGACGCGGTGGTGCAAGCCTGTAGTCCCAGCTCTTCTGGAGGCTGAGGTGAGAGGATCACCTGAGCCCAGGAGGTATAGTCTGCAGTGAGCAGTGATTGCACTACTGCACTGCAGCCTAGGTGACAGAGTGAGACCCTGTCTCAATAAATAAATAAATTACATGACTTAAACAACTACAGAGCCACTAACATGGCCTCAAATTCTGCAGAACAGAACCTAGGAAAACCATTGCCCTAGGATTTGACTTTCTCCAGGAGAAGCAGTGGCTGTAATAAGGGTAAGTAAAGAGAAAAAACACGAGACTTTGGGGCTGGCGTGGAACCGGCAGAAACTGGAGAATTGAACTGAAGAAATAGTCCACAACTCCACATGGAATTGCAGACTCACCTGGGCGCGGTGGTTCACGCCTGTAATCCCAGCATTTGGGAGGCTGAGGCAAGTGGATCACCTGAGGTCAGAGGTTTGAGACCAGCCTGGCCAACATGGTGAAACCCCGTCTCTACTAAAAATTACAAAAATTAGCCAGGCATGGTGGCACATGCCTGTGGTCCCAGATATTCTGGAGGCTGAGGCAGGAGAATCATTTGAACCTGGGAGGCAGAGGTTACAGTGAGCCGAGATCCCATCACTGCACTCCAGCCTGGGCAACAAGAGGGAAACTCTGTCTCAAAAAAAAAAAAAAAAATTGCAGACTCATCAGCAGGTAGAGGCCTGGAGCCACATCGCTCAGTCCCCTGCCTCTGGGCCTATGTGGGGACAGCCTCACCCTTAAGCTAGTCCCTTCTCCCCTTTGCAGACGAGATGCAGCAACTGTGTGTGTATGTGCTGATCTTTGCACTGGCTCTGGCTGCCTTCTCTGAAGCTTCTTGGAAGCCCCGCTCCCAGCAGCCAGATGCACCCTTAGGTACAGGGGCCAACAGGAACCTGGAGCTACCCTGGCTGGACCAGCAAGGCCTAGTCTCTCACCACCGAAGGCAGCTGGGACCCCAGGGTCCCCCACACCTCGTGGCAGGTAGGAGCTGGTGACTGCCCTGCTTGCCTCACTTGGCCAGGTTTGGCCAAGGTCTCCCCAGACTGGCCCTGACTTCGGTTCCTGGAAGGCAGTCATCCTTCCCCCATTCTCACCTTTCTCACCTCCTCAGACCCATCCAAGAAGCAGGGACCATGGATGGAGGAAGAAGAAGCAGCCTATGGATGGATGGACTTTGGCCGCCGCAGTGCCGAGGATGAGAACCAACAACCCTAGAACCAAGCTTCAGAGCCCAGCCACCTCCCACTCCATCCCAGCCCTATCCCCTGAAAAACTAATCAAAAATAAACTAGTTTCCAGTGGATCAATGGACTGTGTCAGTGGTGTAGGGCAGAGGAGGGGGACTCACCGGGGGGTGAAATTGTGGCAGGGAGGAGAGCTGAGTGCCTCTTAGGGGCAGGGACCCTGGCTCCCCCAGAGCCCCACATCGAACAAGAATCCACAGGTGTGGGCGGGATAACAGATGGTAGGGTTCATAGCCAGAGTCAACTTTTTTTAATTTTTATTTTATTTTATTTTTTGAGACGGAGTTTCACTTTTGTCACCCAGGCTGGAGTGCAGTGGCACGATCTCGGCTCACTGCAACTTCTGCCTTCCCAGTTCAAGCTGTTCTCCTGCCTCAGCCTCCCAAGTGTCTGGGATTACAGGTGCCCGCCACCACACCTGGCTAATTTTTTTGTAGTTTTAGAGGGGATGGGGTTTCACCATGTTGGCCAGGCTGGTCTTGAACTCCTGACCTCAGGTGATCCGCCCGCCTCGGCCTCCCAAAGTACTGGGATTACAGGCGTGAGCCACTGTGCCTGGCCTCAGAGTAAGCTTTTTAAAAGATAAACCGTGTCACTCTCGGTTTTAACCTTGCAATGTTACCTAATGCACTTAGAATACAACCTAAACTCCCTGTCACAGCCCTGAAAGCTAGCCCCGAGGTTCTCCTCCCACTCTGCCCCACGTGGCTTCCTCCTCTTCCTCCTCTCGAGCTTATGCAGAGGTGCCATGTTCTCTCTTTCTCAGAGCCTCCGACTTTGCCGTTCCCTGTGCCTGCAATGCTCTTCCCCAGGCATGAATATGGTGGGCTCCCCTTTCCTCCTTAGCTCTTGGGGGAAATGCCTCTTACTGAGAGACCGACCCCTTCTGCTCCTCACCCTTCACACATAGACCCAGTTATTCTCTACCATGGGTCAAATAAAAGAGAAAAAAATCAAGCTTTTTAAAGAATGAATGCTAGTTTTATTCAGAAGTCTTAGAGAGGACTATAGATTGAGGCCTCCAGCCCAGGAGCAGACTCTGGCACGATGTTTCAGCCCACTGCTTATATACAGCTGGGGGCTGAAGGTGGAGGTTCTGTATATGCAAAATCCCATCAGACTTGCTCAGAATTACATGACAGCAGAATCACAGCAAGGTTTGGGTCCTAGACCACAGAGGCATCATCACTAACCTCGTCAGATGTCATCTTGGAAATGTTACGTGTCGGAAAAGCCAGGGACTAGGATCGTTTCTCTTTTAAGAAATGTGAAGACTCAAGCCGGGCACAGTGGCTCACGTCTGTATTCCCAGCAGTTTGTGAGGCCGAGGAAGGTGGATCACTTTAGGTCAGGTGTTCGAGACCAGCCTGGTCAACAAGGTGAAACTCCGTCTCTACTAAAAATACAAAAATTAGCCGGACATGTGCCTGTAGTCCCAGCTACTCGGGAGGCTAAGGCAGGATAATTGCTTGAACCTGGGAGGCAGAGGTTGCAGTGAGCCGAGATCGCGCCACTGAACTCCAGCCTGGGTGACACAGCAAGACCCTCTCTCAAAGAAAAAAAAGAAAAGAAGAAAAGAAATGTAGTGACTCAGCCAAGAGACGTGTGGGGCCTTGGGCTCTCTCCTGTGCTGCCTTCAAAGCATCTTTCCAGAGGGCTGCACGTCTGTAGTCACAGAGTCAAGGGCTTTGTGAAACTGCCGACAAGGAGAAAGGAGTAAACACGGCTTCTTAACGTTCGTTGCTTTGTCTCACAACAGCAAAAATATTTTCTTTAGCGCACATTTCACAATCTGTAGTTGTTTTGTTTGCCAGTTGATTGTCTGCCTCTCTGGCGAAACAGGAAACTGGGAGTGTGACAAGTCCCCCTCCCTTCTGTATCCTCCATGACAAGAATAGTAGGAATCCAATAAATATTTGTAAATAATTGTTCATGAGTGGCGGGTGCAGGCATTGCTCGTGTCTCACCCCATTCCATCATTGTTCTTGTGCCTGTTGACAGCATTACCTCAGGGCTGTAAGAGAGGGAAAGTGGGAAAGTGGGCTGGGCCCGGTGGCTCACTCCTGTAATCCCAACACTTCCGGAGGCCAAGGCGGGCAGATCACAAGGTCAGGAAATCAAGACCGTCCTGGCTAACACGGTGAAACCCCGTCTCTACTAAAAAATACAAAAAAAAAAATTAGCCGGGCCGGGCGCGGTGGCTCAAGCCTGTAATCCCAGCACTTTGGGAGGCCGAGACGGGTGGATCACGAGGTCAGGAGATCGAGACCATCCTGGCTAACACGGTGAAACCCCGTCTCTACTAAAAAATACAAAAAATTAGCCGGGCGTGGTGGTGGGCGACTGTAGTCCCAGCTACTCGGGAGGCTGAGGCAGGAGAATGGCGTGAACCCGGGAGGTAGAGCTTGCAGTGAGCGGAGATGGTGCCACTGCACTCCAGCCTGGGCGACAGCAAGACTCTGTCTCAAAAAAAAAAAAAAAAAGAGGGAAAAGGTTTTCTCTACCCATCTTAGGTCCATGGCTGGGGCTCTGTAATAAAATACAGATTACAAGAGAAAAGCAAGCAAGTTTATTAACATGTGTATCACACATTCAACACACGGAGTACCCAGAGATGAATAACTCAGAGAGGTAGCTTAGAATTCAGGCTCACGGTGTCTGCGGCCACACCACCCTGAACGCACCCAGTCTCGTCTGATCTCGGAAACTAAGCACAGTCATTCCTGGTTAGTACTCGGACGGGAGAATTCAGGCTCACAGAGCATCTTCAACAAAGAACAATACATTCACAGGCAAGATAAAGGACAGCAACTTTTAGACTTCCAAGGGTGGCTGTGTGTGGGAAACAGATTTCTACCCATGGGAGCTGAGTCCTGTCCCCACTCAGGGCTGGGTCTGGTAGCCAATGGGCCTCCCCCTGGCTTCTCCCACTCCCTGGGCCACCGGTGACCCAGGCCCGGCAGTCACAGCTCTTGAGCCAGCTGCAGAACGAGGGCTGGGGTTCCTACTGCGTGTCCCAGAAGAGGGCTGAGGTTTGGACCCCCAAGCTCCAGCCTAGGTTGGACTTCCAGGGGTGGCTAACTGTGAATGGGAAAGCAGCTATATGGAAAACGAGTGGTAGATAAAGGCTAGTGGGTCAAGTTTGTTATGGAGATTGCGCTGATGCCACTCCAGGCTGAAAAGGGTCTAAAGTTGTCTCTGACTTGTTCCAGACATTTATAGAAGGAAAACATTCTATGTAAATGAAATTGTCATTCTGTATCCTCCCACCACAGCAGAAGATGTGTCGTTGCGTTGAGTGAGGGTAACCTTATGTCCACCAAGGATACTTTGAGAAAGTCCGTAGGAGCAAGCTTCAGTCCCACGGTTTCAGACTATTCTCTGAACACAAGAGTATTGGTTAATTATGTTCTCGGCCCTCCTCGCTGTTGTATGTGTGCACTCACTGCAAGTAACTTATATTTTATTTGAATGTATTTTATTTTTTTGAGACAGTCTTGCTCTGTCACCCAGGCTGGAGTGCAGTAGTGCCATCTCAGCTCACTGCAATCTCCACCTCCCAGGTTCAAGCGATTCTCCTGCCTCAGCCTCCCAAGTAGCTGGGATTATAGGCGGGCAGCACCACACCAGGCTAATTTTTGTAATTTTTAGTAGAGATGGGGTTTCACCATGTTGGCCAGGCTGGTCTCAACCTCCTGACCTCAGGTGATCCACCCGCCTCAGCCTCCCAAAGTGCTGGGATTCTAGGTGTGAGCCGCCACACCCAGCCTGAATGTATTTTAAAGCAGTAGACAGAATAACAAAGGAATATGAAACCATGGATTGAATGGACCATTTTATGTATTCAGAGAGAGGAGCCACCACCATTGCCAGAAATACCATGTAAAAATTGGCAATTTGGCCCGGGAGGCAGAGGTTGCAGTGAGCTGAGATCACGCCATTGCACTCCAGCCTGGGCAACAGGGCGAGACTCTGTCAAAAAAAAAAAAAAAAAAAAAAAGGCAATTTGGAGGTTGCAGTATTTAGTAAATAAAACGATCAACATTGTGCAACTACTATCAAAAAGTGTATTGTAATGCATCAAAAATCAACATTTTATTCATTGAGTATCAATAACATAAGTCCAAATTATGGAAACCAAAAAAGTAAAGTTGTCTCCAGAGATTTAACCTTTTTTTTTTTTTTTTTTTGAGATGGGGTTTCACTCTTATTGCCCAGGCTGGAGTGCAATGGGGCAATCTCAGCTCACTGCAACCTCCACCTCCCAGGTACAAGCAATTCTCTTGCCTCAGCCTCCCGTGTAGCTGGAATTACAGGCGTGTGCCACCACGACTGGCTAATTTTGTATTTTTAGTAGAGACAGTTTCTCCATATTAGTCAGGCTGGTCTCAAACTCCCGACCTCAGGAGATCCGCCCACCTCAGCCTCCCAAAGTCTTAGGATTACAGGCATGAGCCACTGTGCCCAGCCTGGAGATTTAACTTTTATCCTTCCTGGTTGATGGACACTATTGAAAATGTATGTCCTGGCCGGGCGCGGTGGCTCACGCCTGTAATCCCAGCACTTTGGGAGGCCGAGGCGGGCGGATCACAAGGTCAGGAGATCGAGACCACGGTGAAACCCCGTCTCTACTAAAAATTACAAAAAATTAGCCGGGCGCGGTTGTGGGCGCCTGTAGTCCAGCTACTCGGGGAGGCTGAGGCAGGAGAATGGCGTGAACCCGGGAGGCGGAGCTTGCAGTGAGCCGAGATCGCGCCACTGCACTCCAGCCTGGGCTGGGCCACAGAGCGAGACTCCGTCTCAAAAAAAAAAAAAAAAAAAAAAAGAAAATGTATGTCCTGTTTTTATGCAAATAGGAGGGCAGGGAGCTTTTCTTGTATCTGCTTCTTCTCAATTTCCTTCAGTTCAAAATAGTCCTTATGCCAAAGTGGCATATTTGGAGGTAACATATTCTAGTTTCCTTCAGGACCAAGTGCAGGGCAGTTAAATACCTCCAGAAGCATCTCTCAGTGTCAGATGACAGTTAGAGGATAAATACGCTAACTCCCCCACCCGAGGGGTGGGATAACTCTGGTGTGTATATATATATATGCCAAATTTATATTTATATATTTATATATTTTTTTCCTTGAAACAGTTTCACTCTTGTTGCCCAAGCTGGAGTGCAATGGTGCAATCTCTGCTCACCACAACCTTCGCCTCCTGGGTTCAAGCGATTCTCCTGCCTCAGGCTCCCAAGTAGCTGGGATTACAGGGATATGTGCCACCACATCCAGCTAATTTTGTATTTTTAGTAGAGACAGGGTTTCTCCATATTGGTCAGGCTGGTCTCGAACTCCTGACCTCAGGTGATCCACCCACCTTGGCCTCCCAATGTGCTGGGATTACAGGTGTGAGCCACCGCGCCTGGCCTACTCTGAGATATATTCTATTATCCCCCAGAGTTCCCAGCAGGACTGAGACCCGGTTAGCCACAGCAATAACCTTCTCAATGATATTCTTTCGGCAGGGGGGGCACAAAGTGTGTTTTATTTTTATTATTCATATAAATAATTTTCTATAATATCCTGGAACAAACCAGATAATTTGGCAGTCCCATTTGGGGATCCCCTCAGAGACCCACAGGCCAGTGGCATTGGTGCAAGGTGCCCAGGTTCACAGAGCAGCTTGTGGCTTGTGTATACCTTGCAGTTGGCTTTTCTTCCACATCACCACTGGGGCCTTGAAGATAACAGGGGCAGGGAATCCTCCAGATTTTAGGAAATTTCACTGCTTCTCCTGCTCAGCGGTCTCTGGTCCGCAAGGTGTTCTCCTGCATCTCCGTTTCCTTTTACTTGGCTTTATCAAAGCTGGCAACTTCCCCCATGTCTGGTTTGTCTGCCATTTTCTTTTCTTTTTTTTTTTGAGACAGGGTCTTACTCTGTCACCCAGGTTGGAGTGCAGTGGTGCAACCTCAGCTCACTGCAACCTCCACCTCCCAGGCTCAAGTGATCCTCTCACCTCAACCTCCCAAGTAGCTGGGATTACAGGGGCCCACCAACTTGCCCGGCTAATTTTTTTTTTTTTTTTTTTAAGTAGAGATGGGGTTTCACCATGTTGGCCAGGCTGGTCTCGAACTCTTCAAATGATCCGCCCACCTCAGCCTCCCAAAGTGCTGGGATTACAGAATGAGCCACCACGCCTGGCCTCTCCCAGGTATTTTCTTGTTTGTTTTTTGAGATGGAGTCTTGCTCTGTTGTTGCCCAGGCTGGAGTGCAGTGTCATGATCTCTGCTCACTGCAACCTCTGCCTCCTGGGTTCAAGTGATCCTCCTGCCTCAGCCTCCCAAGTAGCTGGGATTACAGGCATGCACCACCACACCCAGCTAATTTTTGTATTTTTAGTGGAGACGGGGTTTCACCATGTTGGCCAGGCTGGTCTCGAACTCCTGACCTCAAGTGATCCACCCACCTCAGCCTCCCAAAGTGCTAGGAATACAGGTGTGAGCCACTGCACCCGGCCTCCCCCAAGTATTTTCTATCTGTGGTTGGTTGAGTCCACAGATGCAGAGCCCGAGGACATGGAGGGCGACTGTACTTGTTCCTAAACCCTGTTCCAGATCTGCTCTGGGGACTTCACCCTAAGACAGTGGGTGACTCACTTCCATCCTATCTTTCACAGCCAGGACACTGAGTCAGAGTCTCTGGGGTGAAAGGATCAGGGAAACATGAGCTCAAATCCCAGCTCCACACCAGCCATGATCTGCTGGTGAGAGCATCACTTAACCTACTCTGGCCTGAGTTTCTCCATCTGACACTTACCACCCACTGCCCTCCAGGAGCTGCTGCTATGATTAAACGGCATATTTAATATGAGTCCTCGGCACATTCTTCAATATCAGCATCCACCCCTTCTCCACAACTTCCCCTGCCAAGTGTACACGCACATGCCTACACACATACACGTGCACACACACACTCCCTAGAGACGGCTGGAGGCTGGGCCAGGAGCGCATAGATCCTTTATTTCCTGCACCGCTTGCACACAGGCTGACAAGCAATAGGAGGCTGAGAGGCGCCGCGTGGAGCGGGGCAGGCACCCGCAGGAGGCCTGAGTCCCAGCCCCCTGCTATTGAGGAACAAAGGTGTGGAAGAGGGTGGACCATGGAAGAGGAAGCCGGGACAGGGAGGGGGGAATCAACAGGGAGGGGAGAGGGGCTGGGCCACGGGTGGGAGCCTGGACACCCCCAGGCCACTGGCAGAAGAGGGAGGGCAGGGAGGGAGAGGAGACACACCACTGGGCAGAGGGGCCCTCACCCACCCACACATAGAGACACTTGTGGTTACAAACAGTAAATAGGGACCAAGAAGGATGAAGAACAGGGAAGACGGCCAGGTCCCTCAAGTCAACAAGAACTGGGGTGGCCACCGCTAGCCTGGGCATCAAGGGGTGAGGGGCCTCACAACTCCCTACCCGTGGAAGCTGGGCCATTCCCCACTCAGGGCTGGGTCTGGTAGCCAGTGGGCCTCCCCTGGGCTGCCATGTGACCCAAGCCTGGCAGCCACAGCTTTTGTACCAGCTACAGAGCGACAGCCGGGGTTCCTACCGCCTGTCCCTGAAGAGGGTGGAGGCCCAGGTCCCCAAACTCCAGCCCAGGTTCATGAACACAGAGGGTGGGCTGGTGACAGACACAGGGTCCCATTTCAGAGGATGGGAAGGAGGGTCTGGGGGTGTGGGCTTGGCCAGGCAGAAGGAGGGGCCTCAAGCTGTCTGTGGGGCCTCTGCAGGCTGCTGGGGAACAGCAAAGCCTGGAAGGAGAAGCAGGTGGATGTGAACCAGGGCATTGAAGACCATAGGCCTGGCCTGGGCGGTAGGCAGGGGTCTGGACAACTGTATCAAAGACACAAAAAGTCGCCATTGATAATTATGCAGGTTGTCCCCTGCATGTGCCATAAAGGTCATGGTTCAGTTTATAACCTGCACAAGCTGACATGACAGGCCTGCTGAGGCTAGTGCTATTCCACCCTGCAGTGATCAAGGGCCATGAGAATGGGGACAGGCCGGAGCGGGTACCAGGACAGAACTAGGACAGTACCTAGGACAGTACTAGAGGGGAGGGATGGGCCAGTGAAGGTGCTACAGCACAGGAGTGGAGAGGACAGGCCCAGATCTACCCCTCACCGTGTGGCCCCGAACAAGTGTCCTTAGCTCTCTGAACCTCACCCTCCTCACCTAACCAATGGGGACACATCGCCTGCCACAGGGAGTGAGGCTGATGGGAGCTGACGCATGTGCAATGGCTGCTGTGTATGAGTGTCACGAAGTCATCTTTCATGTCCCGCGACTCCTTAAAGAGGCAGGGCTCACAAAGCCTGCACTCAGCAGGTGCAGCTCCCAGACTTTGGGGTTTCTCTGGCTGGGGAGAGGAGACCCTGTTCCACCTCCCAACCCTGCAGGAGGCCCTAGCCCACCTTCCGACTCACCTAGGGGACTGGTCCAACTGTGGCCCTTGCTGGTGGAGGCCTTTGTCCCCGTAGCCTGGGCAGCCCCAGAAGGCCCCTCTTCCTCCCAGGCCCTGGGACGGTAGCTGGGCCTGTCCTCCAGCCTGGGTCAGCCCCTGGGCAGCTCCACAATCCCACCCCCGTGCTTATTTTGACTGCTGCTGCCACTGCTGCAGGGTTGGAGAGCCTGGGGGACAGAGGAGGCAGGGGTAGGGGGCAGGAGAAGCAGGCAGGCGGAGACAGGAAGCTGAGGCGCAGTGTGGGGGCACAATCCCAGTCCTGACCCCCAGCCCAGCCCCCAGGAGAAAAGTGGATAGAGATCTGAAATCCTAAGCAAATGCCACATAAATGAGCACTGGCTCTACAGTTCCCACTGAAGGGGATCGGATATGCCTATGCAAACGATATGCAAAGTCCATGCAAATCAGCATGGGCCAGGCTGGGGTAGGTGAGCACTCGGGGAGCTTATCCACCCTCTCTTTTCATCGGCACGAGGATCTGCAGCTTGTCCGGCTGGTGGCAGGGAGGTCCCCATGGGGGCACTCACCTTTCTGGAACATCTTCCGCCTCAGCTGCCGTCTGTAATAGGCATCCTGCCAGTTGGCCTGCTGCTGGAGGACATACTTCATGTCCAGGTGTGAAGGGCCCAAGCCACTGGCCTCCAGGGCTGACGTCACCATGTTCATCTGCGTTGCCTCATCTAGCTCCGGTTCCACCTCCTCCCAGCCCTCAGTCTCCTCCGACACCAGCTCTGCCTCTTCCATCACCCCTTCCTCAGCCGGCACCTTTTCGGCAGTCCCCAGCTCCTCCTCGGGCACCAACTTCTCTGCAGGCGTGAAATCTTCCCCCGGCATAATATCTGCTGCCAGCATCAACCCTTCCTCAGCCTCAAACCCCTACACCTGCTCTCCATCCTCACTGTTGCAAAAATCATACCTGGGCGGGAGATAGCGACATCTTTTGAAAGTCCAACCCCCCAGACCCACCCCCACCCCTGTCTGCACACAGATCCTGATGGTTCCTCCCCGTTCTGTCCCAGCCAGGGGAGAGGGGAGCTGGGTACCAGCTCCGAGGCTTCAAACACCCAGCCCATCCCCCTTGTGGGAGAGAGGAAGAATGGTCACCAACACTGCATAGGACCCACCTTCCTTTATGTCCCTGACCCTGCACGGAAGACACCAGCAGGACTAACACCCCCTTCTGCCTCCCTCCTGCATGATTTAACCTTCATAGCCCACCCCACAGCTACTTGCCATAGGAACAAATCCATTCTAGACAGACTCAGGTCAAATGACTTGCCCAAGGACACACAGTCAGGAAAGGGACCACGCTGGGCCTTAGTCCCAGGGTTCCCAGCTCCTAGGCCAGTGCCTGTTCACCTCTCAGCCCCTGGTCAGTCCCCACTCAGAGCTGCGTTGAATCAAACAGCCACCCAGGGGGCAAGATTTGAAGGAAAAGGGGGGCAGCTCCTTCCCAGAACAGTACCCAGCTCAGCCAGCCAAGACAGCAGGGCCTTCTTCGGGGTTGCAGGGTGGCAGAAACAGAGGCAGGTGGCTGTCTGGCTGCTGAAAGCTGAGGACAGATGATGGGGGAGCCCCTGGCAGGCTTACCTTAGGCTGGATGTGTCCCCTCTGGGCATCTCATACTTCCTTCAAAGAGAAAAGGACCTTCATTATGAGACAATGGAAGCCGAAACTGCAGTTCCTCAGGCTCGGTGGTGCTTAGGCAGTGGCCATGAGCAGTGGCTCACGCCTGTAATCCTAGCACTTTTGGGAGGCCAAGGTGGGCAGATCACCTGAGGCCAGGAGTTCAAGACCAGCCTAGCCAACATGGTGAAACCCCGTCTCTACTAAAAATACAAAAATTAGCTGGGCTTGGCCAGGCACAGTGGCTCACGCCTATAATCCTAGCACTTTGAGAGGCCAAGGCAGGATGATCACAAGGTCAGGAGTTCGAGACCAGCCTGGCCAACATGGTGAAACCCCATCTCTACTAAAAATACAAAAATTAGCTGCGCATAGTGGCAGGCGCCTGTAATCCCAGCTACTAGGGAGGCTGAGGCAGGAGAATCGCTTGAATCTGGGAAGCAGTGGGTATAGGGAAGCGTGGAAGGTCAGAGTATGAGGGCAAACCCCCTCCCCACTACAGGAAAGGCCATGGACTACAGGGCAGGGTAGGTCCCCAGCCACATACCTTTCCATAAAATACACAGGGTCTGAGATCATCCTCCTTAGAGACGTTCTGAGCTCCTCAGTCAGGGTCTCCTGGAAACCAGGAAGAGTCTCCTATGGTGGAGAGAACAGATGTTACCAGGGGACCCCCACAGTGCCTGTAATCTCAGCTACTCGGGAGGCTGAGGCAGGATAATCGCTTGAACCTGGGAGGCAGAGGTTGCAGTGAGCTGAGATCATGCCGTTGTACTCTAGCCTGGGCGACAGTGAGACTCCGTCTCAAAAAAAAAAAAAAAAAAAGAAAAAGAAAATTTGCCAGGCATGGTGGCACACACCAGTAGTCCCAGCTACTCAGGAGGCTGAGGCAGGCGAATCGCTTGAACCCGGGAGGTGGGGGATGCAGTGAGCCGAGATTGCATCACTGCGCTCCATCTCAAAAAAAAAAAAAAAAGATAGAAAGAAATGAGGTCTTGCCAGGTTGCCCAGGCTGGGGTTGGAGTGCAGTGGCTATTCATGGGCACGATCTTATTACTGATCAGCATGGGAGTTTTGACCTGCTCTGTTTCTGACCTGAGCCAGTTTACCCCTCCTCAGGCAATCTAGTGGTACTCCACTCCCTGGACCATACTGACCCCATCGGCATAGTGTACTACAGCCCAGAACTCCGGGGCTCAAGCAATCCTCCCACCTCAGCCTCCTGAGTAGCTGGGACCACAGGTGGAAGCCTCTGCACCTGGCCAGGTTTGGTTTTAGAAAAACTCTTTGAGGCTGTGTGCAGAAGTTCCTGGTAGAGTTCGAGTAGAGGCAGTGTGACCAGTTAAGAGGTATCCTGGACTAGAGGCAGCCAGAGAGGGGAGGGGGAAAAAGACTTAAGCCATTCCCAGGAGGTAAAATGAAAGGGTGGCCTGCCCCTCCACACCTGTGGGTGTTTCTCGTTAGGTGGAACGAGAGACTTGAGAAAAGAAATAAGACACAGAGACAAAGTATAGAGAAAGAAAAGCGGGGGCCCAGGGGACCGGCGCTCAACTTACAGAGGACCCACGCCCCGGTCTCTGAGTTCCCTTAGTATTTATAGATAATTATCTTTACCATCTTAAAGATCAGGGAGTGGCAGGACAATAGGATCGTTTTTAGGGAGGAAATCAGCAGTAAGACATAAGAACAAGGATCTCTGTGACAGGAATAAGTTTAAAGGAAAATCCTGTGCCTAGAGATAAACCTTTTAGCGGCATTGTTTCATCCTATCACATGGGGATAAACCTTGGACAATACCTAGCTTTTCTAGGAACAAAGCCACACCCTGCACGCCCAAAATCCATTAAACCTTGAGTTACCACAGCACATGTCTCTTGCAAGGACAAGGTTGGGGGTAGGGTCACAGATTAACAGCATCTCAAATACAGAACAAAATGGAGTCTCTTATGTCTACTTCTTTCTATATAGACACAGTAACAGGCTGATCTCTTTCTTTTCCCCACAGTAAAAGCAACAGAGTTTGGGGACTGGTTCCTACTCTAGCAGCCTGGGGACCAGTGGGGCCATTCAGGGAGTTGCAGAACCCAGCAGGAAGGAAGGTCAGGTCTGGGGTAAAGGGAACAGCAGGAGTTTAGCTGTTGCCACTTTGCGTCTGCATCTCACCAGCTGAGGCGTTCACTTGAACTCCTCAGGCACAAACACTGCTCCTCATCTTCATAAGCACACAGCATCTAGGACAATGCCAGGCACAGCCGCTGCCTCATGCATGACTCTGAACTGTCCCAGCCCTGGGTGCCTGGTCTCTGGCAGCTCATGGCTCCCTCTTCCCTGCCCCAAATAAGAGGAGACAGGCTTGGAGGAGACCCATCACTTTATTTTTTTGAGATAGAGTCTTGCTATGTCGCCCAGGCTGGAGTGCAGTGGCACGATCTAGGCTCACTGCAAACTTTGCCTCCCAGGTTTAAGCGATTCTTCCACCTCAGCCTCCCAAGGAGCTGGGACTACAGGCTGTGCCACCATGTCTGGCTAATTTTTGTATTTTTAGTAGAGACAGGGTTTCTCCATGTTGGCCAGGCTGGTCTCAAACTCCTGACCTCAAGTGATCCGCCTGTCTCAGCCTCCCAAAGGGTTGGGATTACAGGCATGAGCCACCGCGCCTGGCCTGAGACCCACAACTTCTCTTTATAGTTTGCACAAAGTACCTCCTCAGCTGTTGACACTCTTAATCTTCATAAACCCTGGGGAGATGAGTGGGGCTGAGACAATTAATCCCCATTCTAAAGACAAAGGTTCAGAGAGGTCAAGGAATGTGTCCAAGTTCACACAGCTAGGAGTGCTAGATCTGGGACTTGAACTTGGATCTCCATACTCTGCATCTTGAGTTCTTTTCTCTGCTCCTTGGGACAGCCCCCCAACCCGAGTGACAACATTACGTACAAAACTGCTCCACACATTCCAGAATGAGCATCTGTTCCTCATCCTCAAGGGTGTCAAGTCGAGAGGCCTGGAGGGAGGGAGAGAGGAAGGGACAGGGAAGTCAACACCCCCTGCTAGCGAGGATGCCCTCCTCCCCCATTCTCACCTCTTCTCTCAGCTGATGATTCTCCTCTTCCAGCAGCCTCAGCTGCTCCTGCAAGGCTTCCAGCTGTGGGCAGTGGTGCTGGTGCAGCAATGCCTCCGCGAAATCCTAGGGGAGGGAGGAATGGGAGTCAGGGTGCAGAGTGGGGCTTCCCAGTTCCCAGCCCACCCAGGCCCTCCCCACCAGGGCTAAGAGCGGTGTTCTCAACTAGTTCCAGCAACCCTGCCGGCAAGCACATCACCTGTGTCCCTCTTAACAAATGAGGAAATTGAGGCTCAGAGAAACGACTCGCAGGTGCAAAGGCAGGAACTCACAGCTTGGGGGCATCACAGGGATGAGCACGCTGCTGGTCTTCCTCTGCCTCCTCCTCTTCCTCCTCATCTGAATCTGAGTAGAGCTGGAGGAAGTCATCCCGCAAGTTCACCTGGTGTCTGAGGTGTAAAATCTGGCAGGAAGAGAGAGGAGCCATGGGCTGGGAGTGGGTAGGGGCAGGAGAGGGTCCTGGCATGAGGTGGGTGTAGACTGGCCCCCTATCCTCTCCTCCCCACCCAGTTACCTCCTCCTTGGCTGAGCAAAGCAGGGCTTCCAGTTTGCTGTTCTCCTCCATCAAAACACTGTTCTGTTTCACCAGGGACTGGCCGATGCGAGCTGCAGTGTTCAGGTCCCTCTCTCTCTGCAGAAGGACCATCACCCATAGGTAATGCTCTCCCAGTGTCTGGGACCTCCCAGACAGGTGGGAGAAGCTGGTGGGGGCGGACACAGGGGTCAGAGGGAGGCTAGGCCCCTAAGAGAACCCTCCCCATCCCCTAGTTCACTAGGGTACTAGACCAGAGTCTGCCATTAACCCACTGTGGAACCTGACTCAGTTTCCCCTCATGGAAAAAGAAGATCAGACCAGATTGGCTCTGAGAGCTCTTCCAGCCTGAACATCCCACATCGACCTGTCTTCCATAAGAAGGACCCTTACCTGGGCCCCCAGAGAGACTACCAATCAGGAAATAAACAAGACCCCCACCCCTACAGGACAGAATTAGAATAAGGGCCTGCCTGAATCAGGAAGGCAGTACACACCTCCTCCAGCAAATATAACATCACTTTGACGTCTTCCTGGTTAATCTTTTTGACTGGCGGATGTAGGTTAGGACACAGTGCTGCAGGAGGAGGCAGGTGGGGAGAAAAGACCCAGCCAGGTCAGCAAAAAGGAGCAGATGCTACCAGCAACCAGCTGTTTCCCATCCTATACTCAGTTCTCCAACAAGCGTCATCAGGAATGAAGAATGGGCTCCCCTCCTGCCCCCCACATCCTTCCCTTACCCCTCGGCACTCAACACTCCTTTCCCTGCTCCCAGGGCCAAGTGGACTGGGTTTTGGGGGTTTTTTTGTTTTGTTTTTATGAGACAAAGTCTCGCTCTTACCCCCCAGGTTGGAGTGCAATGGCGTGATCTCAGCTCATTGAAACCTCTGCCTCCCAGATTCAAGCAATTCTCCTGCTTCAGCCTCCCGTGTAGCTGGGGTTATACACGCCCGCTTTCTTGTTCCTCTTCTGCCTCGTGGCGGGTGTGTATAACCCCAGCCACCACGCCCAGCTTATTTTTGTATTTTTAGTAGAGACAGGGTTTCACTATGTTGGCCAGGTTGGTCTCGAACTCCTGACCTCATGATCCGCCCCCCTCCTCCTCCCAAAGTGCTGGCTGGGATTACAGGCGTGAGACCACGCTCCCGGCTTATTTTTTTTAAACCCCTGGAGGAGCCTGAAGTAAGTGAGTCACAGTCCTCCAGGCTCAGAAACTGGGCTCTCCAGACACCTGGGTCCCTGGCGCCTAGGAGAATGGAGACAGCCAGGGGAAGTATAGCCTCAGACTGGCTCATCACCCCCTACCCAGAAGGCAGTGCAATGGAGTCTCCTGGGTCAAACAGACGCAGCCACTTACCCTGCACCTGTTGCGTGTGCAGAGGACAGGAGGAAGACTTCACCAGATTAGGGGACACTCGAGCCTCTAGGCCCAATCCAGGGATCTCCCCCGACCCGCAGGAGGATAGAAGGAGAGAAGGGGCGGGGAGAAGAGCGCAACCTTGCCCCCATACCCGCAACCAAAAAGTGGGCAGAACACCCCCCTCCGCGCACCCGCCCCTCCATCGCACGCAAGCCCGGTCGGCCAGCGCCGGCAGCGCCTTCCCGCAGCCCCCCGCCCCTCTCCTGGCACTGCGGTAGATCCAGGAGAGGGGCGCTGAGGAGGGGCAGATCTGCTGCAGCAAGAGGCGCGTGGAGGCGGGTGGACTAGCGCGCAGGCCCCAGGACCTGACTCACGGGCACAAACCAGGGGACAAAAGCGGAGGAGGAGATGGGGAAGGGGTGACCAGACAGATGCCGCAGTGACATCGCGGGGGTGGTGGACGAGTGACACTGAATGCCAGAGGGGGCGGGGCGCCTGGACCCGATGGGGCCACTTCCTCCCTGGAGGTGCCCCAGTCCCCACGCCGTCCAGGACCCCGGGGGCCCGGTTTACCTTCCTCCAGCTCCCGAATAAAGGCGACGCGCTCAGGGCCGGACACCCCGGGTCGCCGGCCAAAGTAGGCGGCTGGTGTCTTCCAGATGCCCGCTGCCTTTCCAGTCCCCAGGCCAGTGGCCCGGGAACCAAACGGCCCTTGGAATACGAAGCGGGCCCACGGCGCGTCCGAATTGTTGGGCACAGACCGGACATCCCCTTGGATGGCCGAGAATGCAGACAGGCGCCGGGCTCCGCCTTGACTCCAGCCTCGGAGGCCGGGCGAGCTCCGGTGCCGGCTTCCGAGAGGACTTGGGATCCAGAGGCAGCTCGGGATCCTGCTCTCTGTCCAGTGCCTCGTGCCTGCGGCTGCGCAGAGGGCTCCAGAGCGGGACTGGCTGAGGGCGCACAGGTGAGTGCTGCTGGGTCCCCGGGTCCGGGTCCGAGTCCGGGTCCCGGCCGGCTCCCAGCGCAACCCCTCCCGGACACCTTGGGGCGCATCTTGAGTCCGCTGTCAGCTGCAGCGGCGGGACCTTTATAACCTGCGCCAGCCGCCGGGCCGGACCACGCGTAGGGGTGGGGGCTGCCGAGAAGCAACTAGTGGCAAGCGGGACTCAGAGCCGCGCGGGAGAGGAGCTAGTGGTGACGGAACAGAGCACAGTAAGAAAAGGAGGGCAAGAAGGGCGAGTGCAAGTTCCGGATGGCTCCGAGTTGGGATGGGAGCGAAAGACTTCTTCTCCCCTCTCCATCTCCGGAGAATGGTTCTGCCCAAAGCCGCGGCTGCCCCCGGACTCGCGGGACCCCGGCTGGGGGCGGTCCCTCCCCTACTCCCGCGCCAGGGTTTCGGGTGCGTTCTCTGGTGTAGAAGCTGCCAACCCAACGTTGTGCATACGGTCTGGGGTGGCCAGCGCATTAGGGCAGTGCTGCGTCTTTCCCGGTTGACTGGGAGAGACATTCCAAGCTCCAGTGCGCTTCCAAAGTGCTGCCCCGCCTGGCTCTGCAACCCTGACCCTTGCGCTCACACCCCAGTGCTCGCGCCACTCGACATCTTCCATTTGATTGGATTAACTAGTTCTTCACCTCCAACCCTAATTCGCTTTGCCCTCCTCTTGCCATCCTGGCGAACCCCTGTTCTCCTTGGGAGACGCCGCTTAAAAGTCTCCCTGTACCCAGGCGCAGTGGCTCACGCCTGTAATCCCAGCACTTTGGGAGGCCGGGGCAGGCGGATCACCTGAGGTCAGGAGTTCCAGACAAGCCTAGCCACATGGCGAAACCCTGTCTTTACTAAAAATACAAAAATTAGCCGGGCATGATGGCGTGCGCCTGTAGTCCCAGCTACTCAAGAGACTGAGGCAGGAGAATTGCTTGAACCTGGGAGGTAGAGGTTGCAGTGAACCGAGATCGTGCCAATGCACTCCAGCTGGGGCTACAGAGGAAGACTCCCCCTCAAAATAAATAAATAAATAAATAAATAAATAAAATAAATAAAATTTAAAACATTTTAAAGTATCCTACTGGAAATGTTGGGTAGACAATTAGATGTATAATCCTGAGTGTAGGGGAGAGACCGGACTGGAGATTTAAATGTAGGAGTCATTGCTCTTTGATGGCCATTTAAGGCTGAGACTGGGTGAGATCCCCCAAGAGACTGAGAGAAGACAGATAAGAGCGCCCAGGATTAACCCCCCTAGGATTCAGAGGGCAGACAGAGGAGGAGGAGGCATCAAAAAGAAGACTGGGATGAGTGGGGCAGTGAAGTAGAGGAAAACCGGGAAAGTTGGGTCCTAGAAAGTAAAGAAAATGTTTCACGTGGAGAGTGGCCACCAGTGTTGGGTGGTGCTGCTGGTGAAAGACTGAGGATAGAGACTCGGCTTGGCAAACCCGGGTCATGGCAAGACCCTTGGCAAGAGCGGTCTTGCGGGGCCAGGCACAGTGGCTTACACCTGTAATCCTAGCACTTTGGGAAGCCTAGGCGGGTGGGTTGCCTGAGGTCAGGAGTTCGATACCAGCCTGGCCAACATAGTGAAATTCCGTCTCTACTAAAAATACAAAAAGCTAGCTGAGCATGGTGCTGGGTGCCTGTAATCCCAGGTACTTGGGAGGCTGAGGCAGGAGAATCGCTTGAACCCGGGAGGCAGAGGTTGCAGTGAGCCGAGATTGCGCCATTGCATTCCAGCCTGGCAACAAGAGCGAAACTCTGTCTCAAAAAAAAAAAAAAAAATTTGCTGGGCATGGTGGTGCATACCTGTACCACTTAAGGGGCTGAGGTGGGAGGATCACCTGAGCACAGTTCGAGGCTGCACTCCAGCCTGGGTGACAGAGCAAGACCCTGTCAGAAGGAAGGAAGGAAAGGAGGGAGGGAGGGAGGGAGGGAGTATAGAAAACTGTATTGAAGAAATCGGCAAGAAAGGAGGGCTGGAAGAGGGCACAGGAGCTGAAGGAGGATGTGAACGCTGGGGAGTGTGTTTTGAAGATGGGGGAGAGGACAGTATGTTTACATGCTGATGGAAATGTTCCCTCAGGGAGGAGAAAGCAGGTGCAGAAAAGACAGCCCATCTCCCAGAATAATTCTGGAAATGGAGGAACTTTCATAGGCTAACCCGTTCTCCTCCTTGTTCAAAGTCTGCATGTTTTCTTTTCTTTTCTTTTTTTTTTTTTTTTTCTGAGATGGAGTTTCACTCTTGTTACCCGGGCTGGAGTGCAATGGCACAATCTCGACTCACCGCATCCTCCACCTCCCGGGTTCAAGCGATTCTCCTGCCTCAGCCTCCCGAGTAGCTGGGATTACAGGCATGCACCACCACACCCAGCTAATTTTGTATTTTTAGTAGAGACGGGGTTTCTCCATGTTGGTCAGCCTGGTCTCAAACTCCCGACTTCAGGTGATCTGCCCCCACCTTGGTCTCCCAAAATGCTGGGATTACAGGCGTGAGCCACCGCGCCCAGCCCAAAGTCTGCATGTTTTCTGTGGTTTCTTTGTCAGCAGAAAGCTTGAAGGAGACACAACCCCAGGGTTTGCTGCGACAGTGAGGTTGAAGAACATGAGGAGGTGGCATCAGCACAGCCCAGGCTTCCATGAGACTGCAGCTCCGTAGGCTCTGCTGAGTGGTCCTCCCACAGCCCAGCTTCCTGGCCTGTCTCTCTGTGCCTTGGACATCTCTGCAGCCCCAACCACCAAGCACAGAACAGGGCATACAGAAGAAGTCTATTACACTCCTGCTGAATTAAATTGTTTCTGTTCCATGAGGAAGAAGCCCTGGGAATCCCCTGGAGAGTTTGAGGGGGAAGAAGGCAGTGGGATGGAGAAGACAGAGATGAAATTGGGAGACCCTGAAAGCTCCCCCAGCTGACCACACCCCCTAGGTCAGTGCACTGGCAGCCAGCAACTCTGGCTACAGCCACCAGAGGGCAGTGCCAGCCCGCATACCTCCCCACGTGGCTTCCTCACCTACACGCTCAGTCGCCCCACAGCAGGTGGAGTAGGGACGGTGACTCCATTTTACAGATGGAGAAACCAGGGCTCAGGGCCCCGTCATTCTGGAAGTAAGCATTTTGGCCTGGCTACCCTTTGCACGGCCTAGGGCTGTCCGGGAGACCCAGGGCAGTCTCTGATCCAGGCCTCTCAAGTGGTTTTCCTCTGTCCACTGCCCCCTCCCTTTCCTGCTTCTGGTCTGGGGGAGAAATCAGACACAGCAGAGACCCTCGGCCTCCTGCCCTCCCTCCCCGTGTGCACCCACGGACCCTCCTGGACCCAAAAGAGGATGGGAGGGTGCAGAAGACTTGGCAGGCTGCAAAGCCAGACCACCCACCATCTAATTGTGCACATCCCCCTGAACTTGGGCACATTCACTCCAGTGCCCAGCCCTGCGCAGCATACAGGTGGTTCAGGACCCTCTTCCTGACCCCTCCCCTGGCCTGACCCTGGAAAAAAACACCTGGAACAGGGTAGGTCATAGAAAGAGCCCCTAAAGGTCGGTGCCAGGGACCTGGGTGGGGGCAGGCACCAGGGTTACTTTTTGCAGGGGAGCAGGGTGGACAGGCACCCTGAACTAGGGACAGGGGAGACCTCCTCACCCCTGCCGTAGTCCTGCTGTCTCCTACAGGCCTTGTGGGGGCCCTCCCCGATCTCCTGCAGTGGTCTCTGATCCAGGCCTTCCCCTCCAGAACCAGGCAATGGCTGCCATAGCCCTCACCACCCCGCAGCACCCAGGCACAGTCCCTCCTCACATCAGCAGAGAATGGGGGGCTTGAGGGCCCAAGCCCCTCCACATCCCCAGGGGTTCCCCTTTAACTGTTCTTTTTGTTTTTTTGAGAGGGAGTCTCACTCTGTCGCCCAGGCTGGAGTTCAGTGGCATGATCTCGGCTCACTGCAGCCTCCACCTCCTAGGTTCAAGCGATTCTCCTGCTTCAGCCTCCCAAGTAGCTGGGACTACAGGCGCCCGCCACCACGCCCATCTAATTTTTGTATTTTTAGTAGAGACGTGGTTTCACCATGTTGGCCAGAATGGTCTCAATCTCTTGACCTCATGATCCACCCGCCTTGGCCTCCCAAAGTGCTGGGATTACAGACGTGAGCCACCGCGCCTGGCCAGTTTTTTTGTATTTTTAGTAGAGACAGGGTTTCACCATTTTGCTCAGGCTGGTCTCAAACTCCTGACCTCAAGTGATCTACCTAGTCTCGGCCTCCCAAAGTGCTGGGATTACAGGCGTGAGCCAGCATGTCTGACTCCCTTTAACTTTTCTCCTCTTCTTAAAGAGCGCAGCACAATTCCTGGGCCACTGAGCCCCTCTGGCCTGGAACAAAGAAGTAACAAGGTGCTGAGGGCAGCTGGGGCCCTGAGCCCTCTGCCTGCTGTCTTTCATGGCCCCGATGCTGGCCAGGACCGAAAGGGAGAGAGGCAAGGAGAGAGAGGACAGAGAGCAAGTGCCGGGGGCGAGGGCAAGGGGCTGAGGTGGCCGGGACCTCAGGTGGAGAGTACTGACCCCCACTCCGAAGTTCTTCCCCATCTGGGGGTTCCCATCCTGGAGGAAGGCCCCACCTCCCACACAGGCTCACTCTTGCTCTTGGTTCTAGTGTCTGACTCCTCCGCTGAGAAGCCCTCCCTGGTGGGGCTCACCTGTGTTAGGTCCCCTGTGCCAGATGGGGCCTCTCTGTGTCCTCCCCTCCCCTGGCATTCTCTCCCAACTCTGCCCGTTCACAGGGTAAGATGATGTCATTGACAAGATGATCTATTTAGTAACAATGAGAGCAGTATCTGTTTGGCTCACTTTTGTATTCTCAGGACTCTAATGAGGCATCCAATAAATACTTGTTGAATGAACACATCAGTGGATTCTCTGGGTTTGGGCAGCGGGAGTGGTAATTGCCCTGGGGAAGTGACTTCTGGTCAGGGTGAGATCCTAGGACTCTGGACTCCCAAACCAGGGCTCCACATCCCCTGGCGCAGGTGAGCTCCACCAGGAACCCTCAAGGGGCACCTGTGGGAGAGGGTGGAGCCTGGCCAGGACATGAGCCACAGATCCCCAGGGAGTGGCCCTCGGCACAGCCAGGTGCCCACTTCTTCCCTAGAGCCCTCAGCCCAGCCCCGCTCCTTTCCCCAGGGACCAGAGCAGGTGGCCTGGGCTGGCCTGATAGGGAGCTGGATCCAGCAGGTCAGCAGTACCCTGACCTGGGAGGCTCCGCAGGAAGCAGCTGGGAGTGGGGGGACCACAGCACCCACTGTGAGGAGGGCAGGGCCATCAGCCGCGCCCAGCCTGCTGGACACGCA